CATAGTTACAAAAATAGAAGCTAAACAAAACCCCAGAAACCAGCTTTCAGCTAGCCGGGATCTCAGACCAGGAGTTGATACAGAGTTTCGATTAGAACCTAAACAAACCAGATACCTGCTTTCAGGAGCGGAGGCCTAAGAGCTGGAGCCTCAGAGCTAAAGCTGGCCCAGAATAAAAAGAAAAAAGAAAAAAAGGAGCAGTTGGGAGCTTCAGTCCCAGCCTGAAAACAGCCCTCAGCCCCTCACCCAGACTGGCCAGGCACCCCAGTGGGGACCCCCACCCTGAAGGGTGTGTGACCAGCTGCAAACAGACATCATCCCCTCATCCAGGCTGGCCAGGCACCCCAGTGGGGACCCCCACCCTGATCCGGGACACCCTTCAGGGCAAACCAGCCAGCCCCCACCCATGCACCAGGCCTCTATTCTATATAGTAAAAGGGTAATATGCCTCCCAGCACCGGGATCAGCGGAGCCGCGAGGTCTCCCAGCACTGGGATCAGCATGACAGGGGGCAGCGCCCAAACCACCTGATCGCCCTGTGGCTCTGTCTGTGACAGGGGGCGGGGCCACAACCTCCCTATCGGCCCTGCTCTGTTCCTGACAGGGGAAGGTGCCCCAACCCCCTGATCGGCCCTGCTCTGTGCCTGATAGGGGGGAGCTCCCCAACCTCCTGATCGCCCTGCGGCTCTGTGTATGACGGTTCGGCGCCCCAACCCCCCCACCCTACGGGCCCTGCTCTGTGTGTGACGGGTTATAGCCATAACCTCCCCATCGGCCCTGCCCCGAGTGTGAGAGTGGTGGCGCCTCAACCCCCTGATCGGCCCTGCTCTGTGGGTGATAGAGGGCGGAGCCCCAACCCCCTGATCCGCCCTGCTCTGTGCGTGACAGGGGGGAGCTCCCCAACCCCCTTATGGGCCCTGCTCTTTGTGTGACAGGGGGGAGCTCCCCAACCCCCTGATCGGCCCTGCTCTGTGCGTGACAGGGAGTGGCGCCCCAACCTCTCCATCAACCCTGCCTTGAGTGTGACAGGGGGCGGTGCCCCAACCCCCTAATCGGCCCTACCCTGAGTGTGACTGAGGGTGGCGTCGCAACCTCCCAATCCGCCCTGCTCTGTGCATGACAGGGGACGGTGCCCCAATTCCCCAATTGGCCCTGCTCTGAGCCTGACCAGGGGCTGCACCTAGGGATTAGGCCTGCCCTCTGCCACCCGGGAGCAGGCCTAAGCCAGCAGGTCGTTATCTCCGGAGGGGTCCCAGACTGCGAGAGGGCACAGGCCGGGCTGAGGGACCCCACCCTCCCCCCCGAGTGCACAAATTTTTGTGCACCGGGCCTCTAGTATATTATAAATTCTGTGAGGTTAGGGACCATAATACCATTTAATTATCAATACCATTAGCTTAATGCCGAATATATAGTAGGTATTCAATAAACATTTGTTGAATGAATGAATGAATGAATGAATGAATGAGAGAAGTACACACTAGGAATACCATATCTAATCTAATGGAAGTTAGGGGAAGTAAATTTCAAGGTGGGATCTGAAGAATGAGGAGGAATTAGCAAGTGAAGAAACCAAGCAGCGTGTTCTGGAGCTTAAGCTCTGACTTTATCCTAAAAGCAATAGAAGAGTTTTAAACCAAGAAGTGACACTATCAGACTTGCATTTTAGATGGACTATTTCTCATTGTTGTTAGGAACAGACTGGAGCAGAGAGATTGGTTCAGAGGCTTTAGTGGTAGGTGGTTGTGGCCTCCACTGGGTTCTTGGCAGTAGGGAAGAGAGAAGTGGGTGACTGGGATAGTGAGGGAAAGGAAGGAGTTAAATATGATTCCAAACTTCTGCCTTAAGCAACTGAGAGGGTCCTAGGGCTCACCATTCACTGGAACTCAGAGGGAGAAACCATCTTAGGAGAAAAGAGCCTGAGACCTGTCTATATTGAAGCTGAACATTAAGGACTTGGTTATATAGCTGACTTTTCTAGATATAGGTATGCCGGGGTCCAGGCCCAGCCGTCCAGGGGTTCCCAAAAGTGTGGACAGAGTCGGCGAAGAATGTTTTACACGGAGACAGCTTTCAGAACTCTCTAGCTCTCTTTAGTCCCTGTGGATCTTCCTGTGCCTGGCTGAGGCCACAGAGAAAGATCCCAAGGCAAGCTGAGCCTTTATTTGATAGTCAGAGGTAAACAAGGTAGTGGTTACCAACGTTACACTGTTCTTGTGAGTTTCACTTACTTACACTTTTCTTGTGAGTTTCACTTGTTTACACTGTTCTTGTGAGTTTCACTTGTTTTTGTTCTTGTTGCACCTCCCTCAGCCCATTAGCTTCTCAGGTAAGATCTAGGGAGCGTCATAAGGTCAAGCCTAATTATGCTTAAGAGGACTGTGCCCTCTAAGCTGGGACTTGTTTGTGACTTTTCCAACAGGTCAGTCCGAGGCTTAACTTTATAGAGGCTCCCCACATGTCACCCTTCTTTTACTTTTATGCTACTATAATGAAAGTTTAACTTAAGCATCAAGAACAAAAAGCTACCATAATGAAAGAAAACTTAAGCATCAAGAACAGAACTGGCTATTAAAACAATAATGCCAACGTGTTAACATTTTCAAAACTAGTAAGAACAACAAAGAATGCCAATGCAAAACAGCAATAAGTGAGAAATCAAACTACAGTAACATTTTTCTACTAAATGAAAGTTTCTTTTGCTGACTTACTCAGAGTCCTTGGACCTGGCTGTGCATGACTTTGCAGAAGACTGGCAGCTAACCAATGCTAACACAGCCAGAAACATGGTTGAGGGAGTAGCTTCCACTTCTTGCTTTTCTACCATCTGCTGGGCCTCACTTGTTAATTTCTTCAGCTGACCCCATGTTGGCACCTCGGTCCCTTGCATAGCCTTCGTCATCTTCCTTTTCTGCATCACTGTCATTGGGGCAACTTTCAGTCTTTTAAATGATGGGACAAGGATCCTCTGGGTCCATTGTGGTGACGCACGTAATGCTCTGGTACCCAAATTGGCTGCATTGCTCCTTTGGAAAGATAAAACAGAACCTTTTCCCCACATCATTACTAGATCTGGTAAAACTCTCATCTGGTTTTGCATCCTTTCACTGAGCTAAGTTGGCGGAGGCTATGCTATTGTACAGGAGGCCCAATGCCTTTTGGCTGCTGTACAACCCTCTGCATTGTATTTTTTTTAAAATTAACATATAACATTCTTCTCCCCCTTTTTTGTTTTTATAGAAAAGGTTTATATTGATGGAATTCTGACCATATATAAACATACATACTCCTCTGTATTCACAACTTCCCACTTCAACCCAAAAAGCCGCAGCTTCACATTTCTTCCGTGAATTGGCTCCACCTCGGAGCCTCAGCACCTCAAAACAAAACCCCAATTTCGAGCCAAACTGTTAGTTTTTCCTTTTGTGTCAAGAGCTAACTTTGATATGTTAAAACTAAGTAAAATCTATTTACTCAATCCAAAACAGGCATTAAAAGGAAAAACCCCAAATGCTCTCTTGTATCCTATTTTAAGAGTAGGATTGGCGCTTTCCGCCATTACCTGAGTCCTGATCTATCACCCCAGGGAGAGCTTGCCAATCCTGCACTTTCCCAGGGTGGAAAGGCTGCAGTGGGGTTAAGGATAAGGCTCCTTGGGCCTAACTTCTCCTATGCCTTTACATTTACCTTTCTGGCACCTTTCCTTCCTCAGAAAAGCATGGACACACTTGTATAAAACATTCCGTCTGACTGGGAGTAACCTTAACTCCTCTGCTAGCAAGCATATGTGTTAAAAGATCAATAAGGAGTCTTTTTTCTTTAGACTCAGTATGGCACATCTTCTTAATCTAAAGATCAATATACAGAGTTTTTTTCCTTTAGACTAAGTATGGCACATATTCGCAATCTAAGTTCTGTACTATCCACCTTCTTACCCTACTTATCCTCTATAGGGCGTCTGCAGCACCCTGGTAGAGTCCTATCCGTCCCGAGTGTGGGGGTTCTCAATGTGGGGGGGCTTACCTAGGGGAATCCTGTTCAGGCGCCATATGCTGGGGTCCTGCCCCAGCGGTCCAGGGGTTCCCAAAGGTGTGGACGGAGTTGGCGAAGAATGTTTTACACAGAGACAGTGTTCATAGCTCTCTAGCTCTCTTTAGTCCCCGTGGATCTTCCTGTGCCTGGCTGAGGCCACAGAGAAAGATCCCAAGGCAAGCTGAGCCTTTATTTGATAGTCAGAGGTAAATAAGGTAGTGGTTACCAAAGTTACACTGTTCTTGTGAGTTTCACTTGTTTACACTGTTCTTGTGAGTTTCACTTGTTTTTGTTCTTGTTGCACCTCCCTCAGCCCATTAGCTTCTCAGGTAAGATCTAGGGAGCGTTATAAGGTCAAGCCTAAATATGCTAAGAGGACTGTGCCCTCTAAGCTGGGACTTGTTTGTGGCTTTGCCAATAGGTCAGTCTGAGGCTTAACCCTATAGAGGCTCCCCCATAGGTACTTAGTAAAATACCTGGAAAGAAATGATTAAAATATTATAGTATTAGAAATTTAGTTATGTATCTAAAATTTTCTTATTAACTTTTGGTTTTCATTATTTTTGTTTTATAAAGGAAAAATAATAAACTTTAAAAAATTCTATTAGGATCTGCCATAGAAAATGCTAACGTTTTTGTCCAAAAAACAAAAAAGTAAGGCTTTCTTAATAAAATATGGGTTATTCCCAATGAAAACAAATGATTGTGTGTGGTGAAAGAGGAAATTTAACCTTATCATTCAGAGGTCTGCTAGAGTCAGGGACTGTCCTCCCCTCCCTCCCTCCCTCCCTCCCTCCCTCCCTCCCTCCCTCCCTCCTCCCTTCCTTGTTCATATATCAATCCTCAGCATGGTCCCTGGCTTTTAGTAATGGCTCAAGTGGAAGCTATTATTTAGATTTGTTACTAATACATTTATTTTTACTGCAGTTGTTATACAATGATGTTATTTGTGTCTAATTGATTTTTAGGTAGACTGGGGTCACCTGGACTATTTAGTTGTTGACATGCCACCAGGAACTGGAGATGTGCAGTTATCAGTCTCACAGAATATTCCCATTTCAGGTAAATCTCAAAGTTTAAAGTGGTTTGTGCTATCTTTGATGCTTTGCTGTTGCCTTATTGAAAAACAAACTTCATGACAAACATTTTTATATCTTAAAAAACATAATCATTTATAAATTTTCCTTTACAGATAAAATTCATAAATAGAATTTTTCAAACTATTACTAGAACAGTTACATTTTCAAAAACATGAGACACTTGAAGAGGTGGTGATGTAAATCTGTGCTCTGGAAAAGCAGGAGCACTTAAGTGTTATTTAGGTAGAACATGGCTGTTTGGGGTTCACAGCTCTCTAGCACTTAAAGCATAGTGCCCAATACATGGTGGACACTAAGTAAATATTTATTGAATACCTACTCCTGAATAAGAGTAAATTTTAGGAAAATTTGGATTTGGGGTGAATATAATTATGGAAAAATTTTATATTCTGCTAATTATTTACTAAAATCAAGAGAGCAAAAAACATATTCGCTTACTTCAAATGCACAATACTTCATTATAGTAGGGGTTATGTATGATGGAGTTTCAGTATTTGTTGTTAAGTTTTATGTTAAACTAGAGGCCCGGTGCACAAAATTCTGCATGGGTGTGGTCCAGCATCTGGTGTGGAAGGGCAGGTCCCAGCTGACCTCTGGGTCCTGGGCAGCACCTGGGCCCTCGGGTCCCTGCATTCCCCCTGCCTGAGTCACAGCGCCTGAATCCCCACGTGGAGATGCGGTGAGCATGGCCGGATGTGGTGGGCCGGGGCACAGTGTGGGCCTTTGGGCTGCCCAGTGGTGCCGCATGGAAGCTGGGCAGGCAGGCAGCGTGCTCTCTCTCCCAGTGAGCCTTGCAGACCGGCTCCTGCGTGGACCCACGGGGAGCCAGACTAGCCCCTGCGGTCCCCATGGTTGTGGCCCAGCTAACCCTGAAACCCATTGGAGCCAGCAGCACCTCCACTGCTTCCCGCTGCCAGCACCGTGTCACCGAGGCCCGTCATGTCTCTGGTGGTCAGTGCACGTCATAGCAAGTGGTCAAACTCCTGGTGGAACTCCCAGTCGAGGAGACAGTTTGCATATTAGGCTTTTATTATATGGGATCTGTTTCTAAGTGAATCTTTCCTAGATTCCACTGAAGAAATATTTGTTAATCTCACTTATATATAAGGACTTTGGGGAAAATAAGGGATATTTAAGTGTCTTTGCAAGTTAGTTACTTATTGGTAATAAATAACCAAAAGATATCACTAACATTTAATCATCAGAAGGTTTAGAATCTGTGTTTTTGATAAAATATACACATTGTTTGAAAATATCAATATAGCATATTAATATGAATATTTTTTATGTTTAAATATGTTTGTAATCTAATGGAGCCTGAGACTTTTCCTTTAGTGAGGCAAACTATAAAGTGTAAGATGGGAGTAAAGTGAAGTAACATAGGAAAATAATCCTTCCTCTTTATACTCAGCATACTAAATAGCCTGCTTTTTCTTTTTTAAAGAAGTTTTGAGACATCTTTCTCAATCTTAAGAATACTCACTAAATGTTTATTGAATAAAATGTGTTTCTGACATGGTGAAGTGCTTACTGCAGGTGTCCAAAGTGCTTACATTATTCATGTGAATAATCTACACTAATAAAAGAGAAACATGGTAATTGGCCTACGACCGCTACCCTTCCCATTGGCTAATCAGGGCAATATGCAAATTAACTCTCAGCCAAGATGGCGGCCGGCAGCCAGGCAGCTTGAAACTAACATGAGGCTTGCTTGCTTCAGTGACGGAGGACTCCAACGTTCCCCACCGGCTGCTGCAGGCCTCTGAGCCTGCAGTTTCAAACATTGTAACAAATATAGACGCTAAATAAAACCTCAGCCAGCTGGGATCTCAGAGCTGGAGTTATACATTGTTTCGAGAACCGAAACAAACCAGATACCTGCTTTCAGGAGCGGAGGCCTAAGAGCTGGAGCCTCAGAGCTAAAGCTGGCCCAGAATAAAAAAGAAAAAAGAAAAAAAGGAGCAGTTGGGAGCTTCAGTCCCAGCCTGAAAACAGCCCTCAGCCCCTCAGCCAGACTGGCCAGGCACCCCAGTGGGGACCCCCACCCTGAAGGGTGTGTGACCAGCTGCAAACAGCCATCATCCCTTCACCCAGGCTGGCCAGGCACCCCAGTGGGGACCCCCACCCTGATCCAGGACACCCTTCAGGGCAAACCAGCCGGCCCCCACCCGTGCACCAGGCCTCTACCCTATATAGTAAAAGGGTAATATGCCTCCTGGCACCGGGATCAGTGTGACAGGGGGCAGGGCCACAACCTCCCTATCGGCCTTGCTCTGTTCGTGACAGGTGAAGGCGCCCCAACCCCCTGATCGGCCCTGCTCTGTGGGTGATAGTGGGCGGTGCCCCAACCCCCCCCCCCCCCACAGGCCCTGCTCTGTGTGTGATGGTGTAGAGCCATAACCTCCCCATCGGCCCTGCCCTGAGTGTGACAGTGGCGGCGCCCCAACCCCCTCATCAGCCCTGCTCTGTGGGTGATAGAGGGCGGTGCCCCAACCCCCTGATCCGCCCTGCTGTGTGTGACAGGGGGGAGCTCCACAACCCCCTGATGGACCCTGCTCTGTGCGTGACAGGGGGGAGCTCCCCAACCCCCTGATCGGCCTGCTCTGTGCGTGACAGGGGGCAGCGCCCCAACACCCTGATTGGCCCTGCTCTGTGTGTGACAGGGGGTGGCTCTGCAGCCTCCCCATCGACTCTGCCTTGAGTGTGACAGGGGGCAGTGCCCCAACCCCCCAATCGGCCCTACCCTGAGTGTGACTGAGGGTGGCATCGCAACCTCCCAATCCGCCCTGCTCTGTGCATGACAGGGGGCCGTGCCCAACTCCCCAATTGGCCCTGCTCTGAGCCCAACCAGGGGCTGCACCTAGGGATTGGGCCTGCCCTCTGCCACCTGGGAGCAGGCCTAAGCCAGCAGGTCGTTATCTCCCAAGGGGTCCCAGAGTGCGATAGGGCACAGGCCGGGCTGAGGGACCCCACCCACCCCCCCGAGTGCACAAATTTTTGTGCACCGGGCCTCTAGTACATTGATAAAATTGGACTAAATTATCATTTATTTCCTGCATTGTGACTTGGTACCTTGCAAAAGTTTAATTTGCTTCACACAGATAAACTGAAGTCTCTGAGCAATTTACCTTTGTTCATTCAGATAAAAACACTTCTGTTTGAACAGGATGAATGATTGTATCACCCTGTTTTAATTTGTACTTATACTCTAAAGCCAACAATGTGTAGATTGGGGTTAAGATTGTCTCTCCTTTGAGGATTTCTTTCTTATATCCTAAAACTTTCTGATCAAAATAAATTTCTCTATGAATATTGCTAAACCTGTGCACCTCTATATGCTGAGTTTCCAACCAATGGTCTGTAGCGGTGTTTACTATATTCAGGTTTTGGGAGGGTTTTGACTCTTAAGAGATTCCTTTGACCCTCTTTAACTCATACATTCTAGGGAAGGTCTTGAGGTGGTCTGGAAGCAATCTCCTTTGACATTTAGGAGTAGAGCCCCAAATGATTCTTTTTTTTTAGTAAATCTTTATTGTTCAGATTATTACATTTGTTCCTCTTTTTTTCCCCCCATAACTCCCCTCCACCCAGTTCCCACCCCACCCTCTGCCCTTACCCCCCCACTGTCCTCATCCCTAGGTGCACAATTTTTGTCCTGTCTCTTCCCGCATCTCCCACACCCCTTTCCCCACCAAGAATAGTGAGTCCATTCCCTTTCTATGTCCCTGATTCTATTATAATCACCAGTTCATTCTGTTCATCAGATTATTTATTCACTTGATTCTTAGATTCACTTGTTGATAGATGCATATTTGTTGTTCATAATTAGTATCTTTACCTTTTTCTTCTTCTTCCTCTTCTTAAAGGATACCTTTCAGCATTTCATATAATCCTGGTTTGGTGGTGATGAACTCCTTTAGCTTTTCCTTATCTGTGAAGCTCTTTATTTGACCTTCAATTCTGAATGATAGCTTTGCTGGATAAAGTAATCTTGGTTGTAGGTTCTTGGCATTCATCACTTCGAATATTTCTTGCCACTCCCTTCTGGCCTGCAAAGTTTCTGTTGAGAAATCAGCTGACAGTCGTATGGGTATTCCCTTGTAGGTAACTGAGTTTCTTTCTCTTGCTGCTTTTAAGATTCTCTCTTTGTCTTTTGCTCTTGGCATTTTAATTATGATGTGTCTTGGTGTGGTCCTCTTTGGATTCCCTTTGTTTGGGGTTCTCTGCGCTTCCTGGACTTGTAAGTCTATTTCTTTCACCAGGTAGGGGAAGTTTTCTGTCATTATTTCTTCAAATAGGTTTTCAATATCTTGGTGTCTCTCATCTTCTGGCACCCCTTTAATTCTGATGTTGGTGCGCTTGAAGCTGTCCCAGAGGCTCCTTACACTATCTTCGTATTTTCGGATTCTTTTTTCATTTTGCTTTTCTGGTTGGGTGTTTTTTGCTTCTTCGCATTTCAAATATTTGCCTTGATTGTTGCGCTCCTCTGGTCTGCTGTTGGGAATCTGTATAGTATTCGTTATTTCAGACCGTGTATGCTTAATTTCTAGTTGGTTCTTTATCACAACATCGAGGGTCTCATTAGATTTCTTGAGGATCTCAATAACTTTTTCGGCGGCTTCTAGACAGTTCTTGAGAGACCTTAAAAGTGTGGTTCTGAACTAGATATCCTCCATTGACAGTTTTGTCCTGTTTCTTTGTCTCCGCATTTTTTATGCTTTCTTGGTGCACCCCCTAGTGGTCTTTGTGTGCAGTCTTGTTGTAGTTAAGCCTTGATTGTTGCAGTTAATACTAGGGGGATTTGACCTCCAGGCCAACTGGCTGTGAGAATCAGCTGTGTCTGCAGTGGGAAAACTTCTGTCCTCTAGAGGTGCTAATCTAGCCTTTGCCTGAGGCTATCTGGCAAATGGCTCTGTGCAGGGCTTGGGCGAGGCGGGTCGCACGGGATCAACAGAGTGGGTG